TAATTACTCATGTTTGCTAAAGTAGTTTATGATTTTAAAAGAAAATGATTTAACAATATTATAGATGTATTTATTTTGAATTAATACAATTATTAATAACACATACATTACTTAAAATTTTCAAAACTAGTACATAAAATTTAAAAAATTTTTAAAATCAGTTTTAAAAGAATTTGAAAATTTATAAAAAATAAATGTGATAAAAACAAATTTACTTACTACATATAATTGTTACAATAATCAGAACTATTGTATTCTTCATAATAATAAACGAAATTCTGGGAACTTGAGGAACACTATCGACGTCCTTATTCAGTACTCGTTGATCATTTACTGATCCTGAATCAATCCGGAATTACCCGACACTACCAGCCACACAGATTCAACAAGTAGCTGTATCTGTTTGTGTGCGCGTTTATGGGAAAATACGCGGCTACGTATGCTCATCCGAAGATTACACGTAAAAGCGAGACGGAAATAACATATAGCTATTGCATCCTATTCGGCAGATGTTAGAAAAAACAAAATGACTACTTTCGTTTATAAATAATCAGCAAATAGCGATAAATTAATATCTTTGAAACAAGTTTTTTTTTTTATAATAAAACGTATGTGTGGTGAAACAAACATGTATTATATTCAAATAAGTATTTTTAGATATCTATATATAATGATGATACAATTTAAAAAATAATTAAAGACAATTGTTGACAAATGTATTTAATACACTTTAACATATGAATACAATAATTTTATAGTATATATTCAGCTGTTGCTACTGATTCTTTAAATGCAAATCTTTTTGGTGTGAGAAAAGATGCTAACCAGTTAAACATTCTATATTATATTGATCAAGGTAAATACTTTAAATATTTTAAATAATTATTTTGTAATAAAAATTGTATATTAATAAAATATTCAGTAAATGATAACAAGAAAAAGGATACACTTTTTCTGAAATTTCGGTATCTGTTATATCCTTTAGAATGTATTCTTTGTAAAATTGTTCAACCTCTTCATTACATTCATTCCAATCTAAAGTTTCGTGAAATCCATCTGTTCCATACCTTTCATTATAATATCCATAATGTACCTAGGGAGATAAAAACATTCACTTCATGATTTCACTGTATACATAAGATCAATTAAAACTGAAATATCGTACAAAATGTAAACTCAGTCCTAAGCCTGGAGCAGTAGGAATATCAATTTTTTCTAAAGAAAATGCATCCTTAACAATATCGTTTGTCACAATATTTCTACAAATTCCTATTACTAAAGACACCATTTTTCTAATTTGATGCAACATAAAACTTTGCCCTTTAACTTCTAATACAGCAAATTCCATATCATTTACAGTGAATATTTCCGTACAACGAAAATGTATTATATAACGCTTAGCTCTTGGATCCAATGGTTTTCTAGAAAGAATTTATGGAATTAAACAATTTTTTTATTTATATTATGACCATATTGTATAAAATAACTTACGTTTTTGATGTGAAGTTATGGAAATTGTGTGTACCCTCTAATAGTTTCAGAGTTTCATTCAGCTTCTCAATCATTTCTGGAGTTAATCGAAATTCATTGTATGGCCTTCCATTTATCTCAGAGAGTTGACTAAGTCGTATCTCTTCAACTATTTCTTCATCTTGATCAGATTGTAAAAAATTAAGATCCTCTGGAGCCAAAGCAAATGTAGGAAGAATATATCTGTATGTTCGAGCATCACACTTATTTTTACTGTTAAAACTTCTTGTTACTCTCTTTATCCCAAATACTCTAATATCTTTTGGAAGATGTTCATTAATATCTTCCTTATTTACATTATCAGCTAAAAAAGATTAATGATGAAACACATAATATGAATTTATCTATGCTTCTGTTTAAGACTGACATAATATATACCCTTATTAGAAAAAGTACAAAAACCTAAATAATAATGTATTACTTACGCAGCTTTAGAGAAACAATTTGCCTAACTGCTGATACACCTTTATCTGTACGTGCAGCTCTTTGAAATTTTATCTCCCTTACATCATCAAATTGTTCCTTTGTAATAAAATTAGCTTTCAACAAAGCAGACAACAAACTTTCTTCTATGGTTTTTGTACCACGATTAATTTGCATACCAAAATAATTTCTGCCAAGATATCCTAGCATTATTACAAAAGGTCTTCGTTTAACTGAGTTTTTTCTTTCTATTAGATCTTCAGTTACTTCTACCTTTTGTGCTTTAGCTGCAACTTCATTATTTTCGTCAATCATTTGTCTCTTATTACTTTGCAGAATATTGTCTGCATCTTTTTTAACAGCACTGACATCAACAGACATATTTTTACAAAAAATATTATCTAAAACTAAATATATATGATTAAAAAAGTAATTAAATAATTTGAAACATTATTATTAAATATTTAGTGGAACAGTACTTATATATTTCATTACATTATTCTTTAATTACTTTGGTATAATTATTACATATTTTCATTTAATATACCCTCCTTTTATTTTATTTACTTTATATACATATGTTACATTAAATAACTTACCAATTTGGAATCTAAAACGAAAAAGAGGTAAATTATGTAGAATACGATATTTAAAAGCCATTAATATTTTGTTCACATATGCTGTACACGTTTTGTTAATTTATAACCTAAAACGTAAAACAGATTATACAATATAACTACAATCATTTTAATATTCCAAATAGATTAGAAATATAGCACATTTACAAATCGTATAAAAAGTATTATAATTATAATTAATAATTGTCAAAAGCTACTGCATACATTTTACGAGTGTAGTTATACATGAAAATAGCATAAGATGCGAGGCTTGAAACTGTATAGAATATTTAACGAGGATATTGAATTCTTTCCGTCATATTCGAATACAAGGAAATATAAATCAAAATATGCGTAAGATATACAGACAGAATACAGTACAAAATAAAATAATAGACTAATAATAATGAACCGAATGCATAATAAAAGGATATGGGACAGAAAAAACATAGAGTCGAGAAATATACAATTTCAAAAACGTCATGGC